TGAAATAATATATTGTATTCTAGGATTTAGTTGAAAATAACCTGGTGTTGGGTTATGGTTGAGGATGTAGATAAATCAAGAGTGGGTGTGACTGAGTGAAGGGTACAGTGAAGGTCACTGTACTCTTCTCTCTACTTTTGTGTTTGTTTAAAATATTTGTACAAGTTTAAAATAATAAGGCCGGGCACGGTGGCTCACGCCTGTAATCCCAGCACTTTGGGAGGCCGAAGGGGGTGGATCACGAAGTCAGGAGATCAAGACCATCCTGGCTAACACGGTGAAACTCTATCTCTACTAAAAATACAAAAAATTAGCTGGGTGCGGTGGCGGGCGCTTGTAGTCCCAACTACTCGGGAGGCTGAGGCAGGAGAATGGCATGAACCCGGGAGGCAGAGCTTGCAGTGAGCTGAGATCAAGCCACTGCATTCCAGCCTGGGCGACAGAGTGAGACTTCATCTCAAAAAAATAAAAATAAATAAATAAATAAATAAGTACCAGGGTTACCAGGGGGTATGGTATATGCTGAAGAATCATGAGATACTGGTTATAATTTCAAAAAATCTCCAATAAAAATAGATAATTTAAAGTAAAACCACAGGAACAAAATGTTTTTAGATATCTCCAAATTCTTCACTTCCCTCCTCTAAATTCAGGTGGGTCACTTCATACTTTCTCCCATCCGCAGTTCCCAATAGGCAGGTCCTGGAGCCCAACCGTGGTGGGGCAGGGAGTGGGGATTTAAAAACTGCATGATGAGCACTAGCAGGAAAGAGGATTGGCGCTGAGAGGGGAGGAGGGGCAGGCAGGAGACCCCTGGGGAGTTGCTGCTCCAAGGAACTCCTTTTTCACCCTCTGAGAGAAAGTGTCACAGGACCACAGACCCTTGGTCTTCACGGGTCCCACAACCTCCCCCAAATTGCATGTAAAATTGTGTGGGAATGCAGGTGAGTGCATTTCAGCTGGGGCTGGCTTTGGCAAGGCTGTGGCCTTCAGTAGATATCAAAGCAGTCATCTAGGTCTCGTGCAGATGATGGAAAACATGGTGCCTTGACCCAGAGTCAATGCCAAAGAACTCGGCTAGGACATAGTACCCAGTCATTTAATCAAAACCTAATCTAGGTGTTACTATGAAGATATTTAGTACAAGTGGTTAACATTTACAATCAGTTGACTTAATGAAAAGGAAAAGGAAATTACCCTCAATAATGTAGATGGGCCTCATCCAATCAACGGAAGGCTTTAAGAGCAGAAACTGCAGTTTCCCAGAAAAGAAGAAATTTTGCCTTAAGACTACAATATCAACTTCTGTCTGCATTTTCAGCCTGCTGGCTTATCCTACAGATTTCCTACTTGCCACCCGAATAATTGCATGAGTCAGTTTCATAACACGAATAAACACACACACACACCCTATTGGTTCTGTTTCTCTGATGAATCCAGAATAATACAGAATTTGGTACCTAGAGTGATTCTAGAGGAAGATAATCCTTTTAAAACGTTTATAGCCAACAATAAAAAATCTTTATTAAAAATGTTGAAATGCATAAAACAGTAATTATAAATTAGCAAACACCCAACAAGAAAAGCAGTTATTTTCTTTTCCTTAGACAGTACAAGCAAGAGTAATTGGGATCTTACTCACTTTCAGCCACCATTTGCCCTCGATGTCCTTCACTTAAAACAAGCTTTTAGCTTGTGTTTTTGGAGTGGAAACTCACATGGCTACTAAGAAACGACTCTAAAAATGTAACTTAGGCACTCAAAATTCCATGTGCCGTGTTAACATGTAATGATGGTTCATACTACAGCCTCTCACAATAGGTAAGCGTGATTTCCAAAGTGAAATTAAGTCACGTTTGTGGCTGCTGGTGAACGCGGCACAAATGGACCCATTCAGGCATCGTTCTGCTCTGGGGCGCGGCTTCTGTGGCTCCGGCAAACTATACAAAGGCTTTTTCCTTTCTTTCTTTCTTTCTTTCTTTCTTTCTTTCTTTCTTTCTTTCTTTCTTTCTTTCTTTCTTTTTTTTTTTTTCTTTCTTTTTTTTTTTTGTGTATCTTCTGTGATACTTCAATTATTTTATACCCCATTAATCATTTTCTTTCTTTTCTTTTCTTTTTTTTTGAGTTGGAGTCTTGCTCTGTCGCCCAGGCTAGAGTGCAGTGGCACATTCTCGGCTCACTGCAAACTCTGCCTCCCTGGTTCAAGCGATTCTCCTGCCTCAGCCTCCTGAGTAGCTGGGATTACAGGCACCTGCCACCGTGCCTGGCTAATTTTTCTATTTTTAGTAGAGATGGGGTTTCACCATCTTGGCCTGGCTGGTCTCAAGCTCCTGACCTCGTGATCCACCCGCCTCAGCCTCCCAAAGTGCTGGGATTACAGGCGTGAGCCACCGCGCCTGGCTTATTTTCTTGCAAACAAAACTGAAAATATCAGTTCATAATGTGTTTCCATATACTTTGCCCTTATTCAAATGGTTATGAACAAGTGGCCTTCCATTTTCTATTGCCACTGTAATTATTTGTTCCTGATCTGACAACACCTTCTTCAGCTCCTTTCTCTGGCCACCGAGATTAACAGTCCCACAAGCAGTCTTTTGATTCACTAAGTGGCTTAATAGGGCAAGGTTGATTTGAGCCAATACTTCTGGAATGTTCATTTCGATTTGTAACAGAAGTTTTTTTCTGAATTCATCCCCACAAGGTGAGCTGGAAAACTGCAACCATAACCAAAGCTAGAAAATACTGGAAGTAGCCAATATTTCTTTTCATCACCAAAGACTTGTCTCCAATTTTTACTATTGTTCTATTTTTTCCAGCCAGCCAATAGTAGTAGCTGAAAAGCGAGAGGACACTGATGAAGAACTTTGCAGGCCCAAAGAAAAGGAAAAGTATGTGGAGCTTTGCTGTGTATCTGTCAGTTCATCCTACTCCACTAGGACATGGCGTTCTCAAGACTTGATGTCCTCCAGGCCCCCAGCTGAGGGCAGCGAGCACCCTGAGAGCCAGCTGGACTTACCTCTTGGTGTGTAACTACACAGTCACCGCATCTGGGTGGGGAGTTGTCCTGCACTTCTGGAATCATCTTCCTTGGTCATGGTGGCTACTGCTGTACTGTCCTTCTGAGGTAGGTGAGATAGGGTATTCACAGCCTCCCTTGAAAGGAAACAAGAGACTTGTCAGGTTGATGGAGAGAACAAGCTGTTCGACAGTGCACAAACCATATCCTGGGCTTGTGGTTAGAACATCCTGCAGCAAGGAGGTAGAAAAGGCAAGAGAAACATCCCCAAATCTAAGCAAGCACAGAAACCCATGATTAGCATCCTTGGGCTGACCTATGCTCATTATCATAGTAGAAAACATACGCCTGAGTGGGAAGTGAAGATGCTAATGAGACATGAGATGTATGTGCTGGTATGTACAACCACAGTGCACGCACATCCAAGAGAGCACAGAACATGCTTAAAACAATACCCCTTCCCACCTATTCATGAATAATCATGTAAGACTCCTGTGAGGGAAGGGTACTGTCTCACTTTTGAGCAGCCTGCTCTGATCAGCTGTCAGAGTATACTTTCACTTTGCAATAAATTCTCCTGCTGACTTTTACTTTGGACTTGCTCTCAAATTCTTTTGTGTGGCAAGTCCAGAGCACGCACCGGCCCATCGGCTACATATCCTACCTTTTTGCTTTCTTTCTGTATCTTGTTGCTAGGGATAACTTTGCCCCTGCTGGCAGCATGCCCCTGAGGATGGTGTGCTGTGGCAGGTGTCCTCCTCGGCTTGGCCTTAGGTCACTAAGCATAGCCCATGGTAGGAGGTTCTGAGAATGAGTGGAACTGCCTCATGCAATGGTCCCCATGGGAGTGGCCCACAGTTGCTTGCATCTGTGGCATTTTCACAACTGTTTAAAAAGACTCAAGAATGTACTGTGGGAGGAGAGCAGGTCTGGGGCCTCATCTGTGTCCCCCACCTGCTCATCTGCATGGCCGTGCGCTTGATGTGGTCAGAAGTGAGAAATGCTGCTGCCCCTTTGCAAAGCACTACTTAGTTTTTCTCTTCTTAAGGGTGGTGGCACGATGCCCAGGTTGAGATGGACGCAGGAGTCGGCATCCTAAATAAAAGGAGAGACTTTAATAGAAATACCTGAGCTTTTCAATGCGCACGAACAGGGCCTTTTACCCTCTGGCAACCATGTGTTTCTCATTGAGATGTTTCTTGTCCTCAGAGTGATTTTTCCTTTTTGCAGGTGGTTTATCAAAACAGGAAAGGACAAAAAAGAAAAAGCAGGAGAAGAAAAAGTATGGGGAGCTGGGACCCTGGCCCTGAGCAGGTGACATACAAAATGCTTCTGGGGAGGCTGCCGCCATCTGGGGCACTGGCACATGGGGCACGGCAGGGCCCGCCTTCCTGATGATGCCGCCTGTCCCAGTTGCTCGCCGGAAGTTGCAGTGCCCAGATCAGTTTTGTATTGATGGGAATTTTAAAAAAATATTATATTACATAATTTTATGCTTTTTGAAAATAAGTAATAAACTTTTCTGGCTAAGTTGTTAGTAATGGTAATCTCTCTAATGTGCTTAAAGACAGTCAAATCTACAGGGTTCCCATCTTCACTGGATGTCCGTGCTTCCTGCTTGATCTGTTTTCAGGTGTCTTTGCCTGTTTGTTGCCCCTATGACTGCTGACATCCTGCCTTTTGGTGGAAACCACACTCTTCCTTGCCCATTGAGGGTTGGAAAATTGGATGACTAAACTCAATGAAGATAGAAGATAACACTTGTTCTACATGGGTGCCTTCATCACCTGCACTTGAAAGCAAGGCTGAGGTGCAGAAGGCACAAAATGTGGCCATGTCCCTTGGCTGGCAAGTGGCCTATGAGCAATGTGAGCCTGAGTGGATGACACTGTGACACAGTTCAGGGTGCATCACAATGTTGCCCTTTGTGACTGCAGGGCCAAAAGGAACCAGGGCTGAGAGGAACCTGGAGACATGCTGGGGTGGGGCCAGATGAGGGCCTGGAGAGAGCCTCCACCCACCGTCACAGGGCCGGGGGAGACAGATTGAGGAGAGGCACCTGCCCCTCTCTCTTTGCAGAGTGGAATGACAGCTGATGACATCATTGTGAAAGCCACAGTACTACAGAGATGTTTGGACATTCATCAGAGGCAGGCCTGTTGTGGGAAAGTCAGGGCTCTGGTGAGGAAATCTGAGATTCTGCAAACTGGAACCGGGTTATCCTATGGGTGCCCTTTCGAACCCTCTGGGCATGCAGAGGAGGCTCGCTCTTCTCTGGTAATAGTTCCCACTTCCTACACTGGAATATGCTGCAGAAGCCTCACCCCTATGATGCAATGGGAATCCCACTCAGTAGTTTTGCAGTAACTAGCCGGTAGGTATGCCCCCGTAGGAGCCTGAGGAGCAGTTCTGGGATTGGAATTTGAGGGTGTTTGATCAAAGGGCCAGAATCAAGCTGGATAAATAAAAAACACCTTTGGCTTGGGAGCACTTTCTCAGGGTATGGGTTTATCAAGGACCTCAGGGCATGGGGCAAACCCACTGCTAGGGTGGACCCATGTAGACTGGAAAAAATGATGCTCAACTCTCAGTAAGTTAGACATGACTTAGTTGTAGGAACATGTAGTGGATGGATAAAGAGGCCGAGGGAAGTTGGTGTGTGGGATGGAGACATCATGTGAGACCAGAAGGCCCACTAGGGCCATGCTCCACAGAGGACCCAGAGGGCACACCTTCCACCAGAGCCTCAGGAATGTACCGGTAAGAGGGACCTGTATTCCTAAGAGGCGTCAGGGTGGTGTCCTCTGCAGGCTGGGTGTGATGGCAGGAAGGAGGTCCTTAGTTGGGCTCATTGATATTCCTGGGGAAAATGTGGCCCTGAAAAGATTGAGAACCAAATGGTGGCAGTGACCTGCAAAAGCCAGAGGGCACGGTTACCATGACAATCTCAGAGGAGCATCTGAGGCAGCTTGATCTGCAGGGAGTTGTGGGGAAGGTTAATAGAGGGTGGTGTCAGAATAGACAGGCAGCCAACAAGGGTGCTGCTTGATGTCCATGATAAGAAAGCAAGAATTGATGAGCAGGAGGCTGAGGGTGTTTAACTCAATACAAAGTCATGATCCCACTCTCAATTCCTAAACTTCAACCAAGTTTCAGATTTAGATCCCAGTTCTAGAGGAGTCCCTACCCCAGGAGGAAGGACCCTGGAACCTCATGGCAAGTATATGCTGGAACAATTCCTTCTGTCTTTCTGCCAAGGAGTCTACGGCCATTTACTCGGGGGACTGTACACTGCGAAAGGGAAACAGGCAGAATTTGGGGGCGTATTGACACTGGGTGTGAGCTGATATTGATGCCTATAGGCCTACAGCACCATCATGTCCCCATCACAGTGGGACTTACAGAAGCCGGGAATAAACCTGGACACATCACAGTGGAACCACCGGGTCCACAGACCCAGCCCTGTTTATCTCCCCATTCCCCAAGTGTTTAATTGGTATTGATGCACTGGCAGCTAGAGTAACCCCCACACTGGGTCCCAAGTCTCTGGAATAAGGGGTCTCATTGTCTGAAAGCCAAAGGGAAATCTCTGCAACTGACTTCATTCTGGCCAAATAAAAAAAGATATTGAGTCCCAGGGTGGGTCTTATGAAAGGTACTGTAGTTATTGTAGGTGTAGCACCTCCATTAGAGAGCTGAAGGATGAGGGGTGGTGTTGGGGTTGCCTATTATTTTCACGTGACCCAGCAATCTGTCCCCAAAGAAGCCTGATGGGGCCTAAAGAATGAATGGGATTACTTCAGACTTGACAGAGTAGGAGTCATAATTGCAGCTGCCATGCTGGCTGGATATCACTGGTAGAGCAGATTGATAAGGCCTCAGGCACACAGTGTGCAGCTGTGGATTTGGTCAGTGTGTTCCTTTCCACTCCAATGAGAAAAACTGTAAATGAAGTGATTCATGTGGGATCCACAACATGTTTCTTTATAGTTGACCTCAGGGTTATTGTCACTGACCTGCCCTCTATAGTAGAGTCTTCAGAGATCTGAAGAACCCGGCATCCTATAGAATAGTGAATCAGCTCATTTCATCAACAACATCAGGTTGACTAGGATGGATGAGTAGGAGGTGGAAAGTATGCTGAAGGCCTTGGCAAATAACGTGCTCTTCAGAAGATGGAAGATAAACCATACAGAGATTCAGGAGTCGCCACTGTGGTGAAGTTTTATTTGTCCGGTGGTTGAGGACATCCAGGAGTTTCTCCTCCAGAGTAAAAGACAAACTGTTGCATCTTGCATCCTCACGACAAAGAAGGAAGCACACTGCCTGGTGAACATCTTTGAGTTCTGACAACACCGCATCCCACATCTATTGCTTTGGCCCATACTCTAGGAGAAATAGGAGGGGACTTACTTCAATTGGGCCTACTGAGGAAAGGACACTGTGGCAGATTCAGGCCACGAGGCAGCACCATCCCTCAGACCCACCTGGAGGTGTCAGTGGTGGGGAAAGATGCAGGATGGAGTTGAAACAAGCAACAGTGGGGAAGTCACATAGAGGGCCTGGGATTCTGGAGTAAGGCTGTGCCATCCACAGCAGAGCCGTATGCCCCTGTTAGAAGCAACTTTTGGCATGTTACTGGCCCTGATAAGAGAATACTTGCCATGGGACATCAAACAACCATGTGATTTCAAATGCCCATATGAGTTGGCTTCTGTAACTCAGGAAGTCATAGATTGGACAGACCCCAAAGCATTCATCATGAGATGGAAATGGTCCATCTGGGTTGAGCATGAATCCTATGTTGACACCTCCAGAAAATACCCGAACCTGAAGTGGCACTAAACAACCAAGCAGACAAATTGAAGTTAGCCAGCCCTCAGCATGGGTCAGGTCAGCCCAGGCCTGGCAGAATCGGTGCATCAGTGGAGCAACCACAGCGGCAGGGATGAGGCTAAATATGGGTCCAGAAGCACTGACTGCCACCTTCCAAGACAGATCCAGCTGCTGCCACCTCTGAATGTCCAACTCATTAGCATTTGAGGCCAATGATGTGCCTCAGTGGGGCTACATTTCTTTAGGTGACTAACTCGCTGATAAGTGATGAGTTGACTACATTGAGCCACTTCCATCCTGGAAGGGCCAGAGGTTCATCTTCACAGGGTTAGGCACCATTCCATGAGTGGGTTTTCCTGTCCTGCTCTCAGACCCTCAGTCAGCACCATTCTCTGGGGACTGTTGATGTTCCTGATCCACAGGCTTGACATTGCTCTTAGCACACTGTCTTCCTGGGGGAACCCACTTGACAAGGAAGTAGGTGCAGCATTTTCACGGCCGTGGGATCCACTGGTTCTATCATCATCTGTACCACCAAGGGTCTGCCAGCCACAAAGAATGCCGGACAGGTCTTCTACAGGCACAACTCAGTGCCAGTCTGGAGGAAGCACTTTGAGGGCTGGGTGCTGTCTTTCAGGACATGGTGCATTTATTAAATCAGAGACATGTCTACAGTGCTGTGTTCTCAGTAGGAAGAACATGTGGGTCAAGAAACCAAGGAGTGGAAGTGAGTATGGCTCCATGTCTCATTCCTTAGATTCACCTGCTGTGGGATTTTGCACTTCTCATCTCCCAAACCTGTGCTCTGCAGGGTAGAAGGTCCTGGATTCTAAAGGAGGGTACTCTTCAATCAGGACAAATGAGAGCCCACTGAACAGCACATTACTATTGCCCGCAGGGAGATTTGGACAGTATGTGCCCAGAGACTAGCAAGTGAGGAGTCCCCTCCTCTCCAGGCACAGGTAATAGATCCTAATCTCCAGGAGGAGGTTGGGCTGCTGTCACACAATGAGGGCAGGAGGAATGTGTGTGGAACCCAGTGATCCACTTGTGGGGGGTATCCTGGTTCAATTTTAATTGTTAGTGGAATTGTCCAGCTACCAAGCCTGAGGGAATTTGATTTCCAAGGGCCCAGAAACCTCAGGAAGGGTTTGAGCCATGCTCCCAGATAATCTCCCAAGGCCCTGCTCCTGTGCTCTGACATCCTCAGCAGCATTGGTACAGATGCTCTGCTTCCCACGGGCTGTTCCCAACCAGTGATGGGTAATAAGAGGGATACTAAGGGAGACCCATTTCTGGAAGACAAGGGCCAACTGTGGCTAGAGGACTCCTCCATGGCCTTGCTCAACTCTCCTTAGATTGCCTGTGATCTAGGATGTGTCCAACAAACTTCCTCTCCTTCTGTCCTTCACTTGGGGGTCACACTTGCATCTCAGTCTGCTGCCTTTCCCAGGGTTTCCTGGATCTTTTCTCATATTGTCTGGCAGGTGTGTCCTCTAATAAAATACTGCAACTTTAACCTCATGTCATCTGCTTCTTGGAGAATATGGACCAACAAATCATTTCAATTTACACAACAGTGACCTCTTACTTATTCCAGTGTGTAAAATCCTTTTGTTTATCCAACTTCTTCCACCTGCAGTGGCTCCAGTTTTGCTGGTATTTGTATTGTTTTCTTTGAGTCAATCGATGTTCATTGTTTCAAGTCATTAAGTCTTTGGGTAGTTTGTTACACAGCAACAGGTAACTAATAAACCTCTCTTATGTTTCCATTATTCCATAGTGGTTATCTACATCTGATTAATTTCCTTCTATTTTTATAATATTATCCATACATGATGTTTCCCATTTCTCTACACCTATTCTCTTCTTGATTTTTCTCTTCCTTCCCACCACTTTTTCCTTTTTCTCATGAAATATTCTTAACATATAAAATAACCCTATGTAGTTATGATATAGAAAGCATTTTCTGAATCTGTATGTTAAAAGTTTAACGCCACAGTATATAGGATACAAGTAAAGAACAGGAAGTTATTAACAGAGTCTGAGTAAAAAGTGCCTGTTGTAATTCTGCAGTCAAGACAGTGACTTAATAATTGCAGTTTTTGCCATTACAAGAATTCTTAGCAAGAACTATTCACATTGGACCAAAGCCAATTGTAATTATCCATGTGATGGAGAGGACCAGAATGCTATGAAAGTGGCCTTGACTAGAAATAGGTCATTTGATCCTTGGCTCACTGGCATCTCCATAGATTTTCAGTGTACAATGTTCAGTCTGATGTGCAAGGTAATTCCATCTTGCAAAGGATTTGATGTGTTGCATTTTACCACACATACACCTGAATTAAACTTTTACAGAATTGGAAATGCACATTACTGATCAAAATAAATTAAATGGAAAAGATGATATATGAATAACCAGTGATAGAATAGCAAATAGGAATGGAAAACACAATAGCATTGCTTAAAAAATACTGTAGAAGCACAGAATAGCAGTGTTATTTAGAATCATAGTGATGCCCAAATCATGTCTACCACATCTCATTAAAAACCAGAGCAAAAGATATCAAGTTTATTATGGAATTCCCACCCAATAGCCAGTTTTTGAAAAATCTTTTTCCTAGATTGGAGCTAACCATTTTGGGCTACTGTATCCAACCAAAGTTACTCATATCATGCTCAGCTAGATGTGTTGGCTGAGGTATGAGACTCATATTTTTTCTATCTTAAAAGCAATCTGATTTGCAAATATTTTTAAAGATGATATTTGAATGGGAAAATTGGCATTTGGGGCATTCTTAAACTAAATTTGAGACATCTTAGGCAAAACAAATACTTATTTTTAAGGCACTATTGTTATGGCACTGAAGTCTTGGAACTATTTGATCTAATTACCGTAAGTTCTCAACTGTGTTGCAACTCATTCAAGAGGATATTGTTATTAAAGGTATTTGCAAGAAAAACTCAGAGATACTATAGTATCCTCTTTCTATGTCTCAAACATTTTTCCCCTCAATACCCAAGGCTCTGCGATATCTCAAATTTTAATCATTACTTTAAAAAGAGAAGTTTAAAGCATTAAAGAATTATAATCAGATGAAAGAATATTTGGATTTATAAAATTCTGAAACAATAATTTTAATTTTGCTTTTAACATATATGCAAATTCTTTGATACTCTCCACTTTCCAGAGGTACAGCTTAATTCCCTCCCTGTGAATGTGGCCTGGACTTAATTATTCACTTCTAACTAATGGAGTAATGTTGACATAACAGTTTGTGACTCTTGGTGTAGAACAAAAAACTTACCGTAGCTCCACCTTTGCTCTCTCTGTCTCTGGGATCATGAACTCTGGGGGAAGCCGGGTGCTGTGTCATAAGCAGACTTGTGGAAAGGTCCATGTGGCTAGGACTGAGGCCTCCTAGGACCAGACAACAAGGAACTGAGGCCTTTTCCAACAGCCATGTGAGTGAGCCATTTTTCATGCAAATCTCCAGCCCAGTTGAGCCCTCAGATGATGCAGCCCTAGACTGACAACTGGACTGCAACCTTGTGAGAGGCCCTGAGCCAGAAGGACCGCAGGAAACCTCTCCTGGATTCCTGAGCATTGGAAACTGTGGGAGATGATCAATATTTGTTGCTTTGAGCTGTTACATTTTCAGTAATTTGTAATGTAACAGTAAAAAAATGAATACAGCTTCACAAGAGAGGATGAATAATTGCACTTTAATTTTCATTTGCTCTAAATTTATTAGTATTATTGTTATCGTCATTATTATTGAAACAGGGTCTTGCTCTATCACTTAGGCTGGAGTGCTGTGGCAGGATGACAGCTCACTGCAGCCTTGACCTCCTGGGCTCAATGATCTTCCCACCTCAGCTGTCTGAGTAGCTGGGAGTACAGACATGCACCACCATGCCTGGCTAAAATTTTTATATTTTTGGTAGAGACAAGGGTTTTTCCATGCTGCCTAGGCTGATCTTGAACTCGTGAAATCAAGCTCTCTGCCTGACTCTGCCTCCAAAAGTGCTGGGATTACAGGTATGAGCCACTACAACCAACCTAAATTAATTACAAAATATTAAACATGTCATTTGGTTTTAAGTGGTAAGAAGAATTTCCATGGCTAAATAGAATGTATTTTATTATCATTCACAATTATTGTTTTATTTGAACTTCAATTTCCAACTGTGTCCCAATTAAACTCAAAAGAAAGACCCAAGCCATGCTAGGCTGATTCCATCATCGCCCCCATGATAGGCGTGTGCCCCTAGTCATTCACCTGACCCCAGTTAATCAACCAACAAAAATGTAGGTCCTGCCTTGAAGGGATTTTTACATATATAATTAAGGTCCTAAATCAATTGACTTTAAGACAGGGATTATCCTTGGTCAGGCTGTCCTCATCTGGTAAGATCTTGAAAGGACCGGTTTCTTCCTGATCATAGAGATTGACAGTGTGAGATGGATTCAGTGTGAGGGAATTCCGCCACTGTGGGTTTTAAAAATGAAGGGGCTGTGTGGCAAAGAATGCTGGTGGGCACCAGGAATTGTTAGCAGCCTCTCTCTACCTTGACAGCAGGCAAGGAACAGGAACCGTAGTCCTACAACTGGCAGAAACTGAATTCTGTCACCTCTGTCTAAGCCTGAAGGAGGTCCTCAAAATGAAAACATAATTTTGGGAAACCCTAAACAGAGAACCCTCCAATCATGCTCAGATTTCTGACTGAGGAACTGTAAACAAATAAGCAAGTGTTGTGTGGTCAGGCGTGGTAGCTCATGCCTGTAATCCTAAGGTTTGTGGGAATGACGCAGGAGGATTACTTGCAGCCAGGAGTTTGAGACTAGCCTGGGCAATTTGAGGAGACCTTCCTCTCCACAAAAAAATTTTTCTTTTTTTTAAAATTTACCTGAGCATGGTGGTACTTGCCTGTAGTCCTAGCTACTCCGGAGACTGAGGCAAGGGGACTTCTAGAGGCCAGGAGTTTGAGGCTGCAGGGAACCATGATCATGCAACTGCACTTTACCCTGGATAACAGAAGAAGGCCATGTGTCTAAAAATAAATAAATAAAATAAATGGGTGCTGTTTAAAGCCAATGTTTGTGGTAATTTGTTATGCAGTCATATAAAATTCATACACAGACTCAACAGACACATGGAATGAATTTATAAATTGATATGCACACTATATGCGTAAAATAAAATATTTCCTTTTTCCAGTATTTTTCATTTTATAATTTTCTGTGACGCAATTAAATTTTAATGCAATCATATTTCATTCAACAGGTCAACAAAAATTAATTTAGTGCCTATGCTGAACCAGGTATGCCCTCATATGCTCAAGTGCCTGACATTCTAGATGCTTCACAAGACCAAAGTGGAGCCACTGGAGTGTTTTAGGTGAAGAAACGACACACTGTGACTCGCAGTAGCAGGACCACTCAGGTGGCAGGTCATGGGACAGTGCTAGAGCCACAATTCGGGAGTGACAGGGTGGTGGGGACTAAGGGGAGAGGAGGGCCTGAGGGATGAGAGGGATGGAGGGAAGGGCTGGAGAAGCAGGAGGTGAGGAAAAGGAGCAGAGGGACAGAATTTGAAAGCGGCAGAATTCTTAGGTTTAAACACATTGTTTTATAAATTTTTAATACATCCATCTACAGAGCTTAGCAGGGTGTTCCTTACATTTGGCCTTTAACACCACATGCGGGACTGCCAAAAAATTAATTGCTTTTTCTGCTTTATTTTTCAGGTTTAAAGAAATACTAGGTGTTCCAATAAAATATGCACACCACTTAGATGCAGATACCTCCTAAAAACAGGAAGTGCATGAGCACTGGTGAGGGGCATTGTGACTGCCTTGAACACTTGCAACTTTGAGGTGAATGAATGCACTGGCTTCTGGTTGCAACATACAATAACACATTGTGCTACTTTGTATTGAGATGTCCTGGACTCACACAGAAACTCAGGGCTATGGAATGAAGGTAATTTTAGAATACAACAAGATACAGATACATAGTCTGGGAAAGCAAAACTTAGGAGCTCTGCGAGTTGTCAGTTGTAATGCATTTAGACACATTTACATATCAAGGGGACAAAGTAACATTTTTTACACATAAGATTCCTGATAATTCAGGGGTTACCAAGATTCTACTACTCACTGCAGCTAATAAAAAGGAAACTGGTCTCTGTTCTATTTCATATGCTCAGCTACCACGTTTCCAGAGAAGGAGGAGGAGGAAGAGGAGGAGGAGGAGGAGGAGGAAGAGGAGGAGGAGGAAGGAGAAGGAGGAGGAAGAGGAGGAGAAGGAGAAGAAGGAGAGGAAGAAGAGGAAGAAGGAGGAGGAGGAGGAAAAGGAGGAGGAGAAGAAGAAGAAACTGTCTCTATACCTTCATTCTCAGGACAAGTTCATTCTCTGGCACCAAGCTCCTTGGGGTGAGTTTTCTTCCAAAAGAGTCCAGGGGAGTCCAGGTATGGTGTGGGAGGCAGAAAGTTCAGTCAAGGGACGGGGATTTCGGAATGAGAACTAAAGGGAGAGGGACTCGGTCCATGCCGACGGTTTCTTACTGGTTTCTCAGTCCCCGGGCGAAGACCCCGGGAGACATTGAGATACACCCTGCACAGTAGGAGGAGGGTGAGGGCAAAGTCTCAGGGCCCCAGAAGTGGCTCTCAAGGGCTCAGGCCCCGAGGCAGCGTCTGGGGTGGGGAGGGTCAGTATTGAGAATTCCCCATCTCCCCAGAGTTTCTCCTTCTCTCCCAACCCGTGTCAGGTTCTTCTTCCTGGATACTCATAACGCGGCCCCATTTCTCACTCCCATTGTGTGCGGAGTTTCTAGAAAAGCCAATCAGTGTCGCCGCGTTCCGGTTCTGAAGTCCCCACGCACCCTCCGGGACTCAGATTCTCCCCAGACGCGGAGGTTGGGGTCATGGCGCCCCGAACCCTCCTCCTGGTGCTCTCAGGGGCCCTGGCCCTGACCGAGACCTGGGCGGGTGAGTGCGGGGTCGGGAGGGAAAGGGTCTCTGCGGGGAGAAGCGAGGGGCCCGTAAGGCGGGGGCGCAGGACCTGGGGAGTTGCTCCCGGCGGAAGGTCGGGCGGATCTCAGGCCCTCCTCGCCCCCAGGCTCCCACTCCTTGCGGTATTTTAGCACCGCTGTGTCGCGGCCCGGCCGCAGGGAGCCTCAGTACAGGTACATCGCGGTGGAGTACGTGGACGACACGCAGTTCCTGCGGTTCGACAGCGACGCCGCGATTCCGAGGATGGAGCCGCGGGAGCCGTGGGTGGAGCAAGAGGGGCCGCAGTATTGGGAGCGGACCACAGGGTACGCCAAGGCCAACGCACGGACTGACCGAGTGGCCCTGAGGAAGCTGCTCCTCCGCTACAACCAGAGCGAGGCAGGTGAGCGACCCCGACCAGGGGCGCGGGTCATGACCACTCCCCATCAGCCACGGACCGTCCGGGTCCCCCAGAGTCTCCGGGTCCGAAATCCACCCTGAGGCTGCGGGACCCGCCCAGACCCTCCACCCAGGAGAGTCCCAGGCGCCTTTACCGGGTTTCATTTTCAGTTTAGGCCAAAATCCCGGCGGGTTGGGCGGAGAGAGGGCGCGGCTAGCTAGACGGGGCTGACTGCAGGGACCGGGCCAGGGTCTCACACCCTCCAGGGAATGAACGGCTGCGACATGGGGCCCGACGGACGCCTCCTCCGCGGGTATCACCAGCACGCCTACGACGGCAAGGATTACATCTCCCTGAACGAGGACCTGCGCTCCTGGACCGCCGCGGACACGGTAGCTCGGATCACCCAGCGCTTCTATGAGGCAGAGGAATATGCAGAGGAGTTCAGGACCTACCTGGAGGGCGAGTGCCTGGAGTTGCTCCGCAGATACCTGGAGAACGGGAAGGAGACGCTACAGCGCGCAGGTACCAGGGGCCATAGGCGCCTTCCCCATCTCCTGTAGATCTCTTGGGATGGCCTCGCACAACGTGGGGAGGAAAGTGGGACTAATGCTAGAATATCGCCCTCTCTCTGGTCCTGAGTGGGAAGAATCTTTCTGGCTTTCCAGATCCTGTACCAGAAAGTGACTGTGAGAGTCCACCCTGCTCTCTGGGACAATTAAGGGATGAAGTCTCTGAGGGAATGGAGGGAAGACAGTCCCTGGAATACTGATCCACGATCCCTTTTGAGCCTTGGGCCCCGTGGCTTTTCCTCTCAAGCTTTGTTCTCTGCCTCACACTGAATGTGTTGGGGGCTCTGATTCCAGCTCTTCTGAGTCCCTCGGCCTCCACTTAAGTCAGGGCCAGAAGTCCCTGCTCCCCCCTCAGAGACTCGAACTTTCCAAGGAATAAGAGATTTTCCCAGGTGCCTGTGTCCAGGCTGGTGTCTGGGTTCTGTGCTCCCTTCCTCACCCCAGGTGTCCTGTCCATTCTCAGGACGGCCACATGAGCACTGCTGGGGTTCCCAATGAGGAAGGCAAAGTACCTGAATTTTCTGACTCTGCTCAGATCCTCCAAAGGCACACGTTGCCCACCACCCCATCTCTGACCGTGAGGCCACCCTGAGGTGCTGGGCCCTGGGCTTCTACCCTGCCGAGATCACACTGACCTGGCAGCGGGACGGGGAGGAACAGACCCAGGACACGGAGCTTGTGGAGACCAGGCCTGCAGGGGATGGAACCTTCCAGAAGTGGGCAGCTGTGGTGGTGCCTTCCGGAGAGGAGCAGAGATACACGTGCCATGTGCAACACGAAGGGCTGCCCCAGCCCCTCACCCTGAGATGGGGTAAGGAGTGAGATGGGGTAAGGAAGGGGATGAGGGGTCGCGTCTCTTCTCAGAGAAAGCAGGAGCCCTTCTGGAGCCCTTCTGCAGAGCCAGGGCTGAGGCTGGGGTCAGGGGCCCTCACCTTCCTCTCCTTTCCCAGAGTCGTCTTCTCAGCCCACCATCCCCATTGTGGGCATCGTTGCTGGCCTGGCTGTCCTAGCAGTTGTGGTTACTGGAGCTGTGGTCACTGCTGTAATGTGGAGGAGAAAGAGCTCAGGTAGGGAAGGGGTGAGGAGAGGAGTCTGAGTTTTCTTGTCCCACTGGGGGTTGCAAGCCCCAGGTAGAAGTGTGTTCTGCCTCGTAACTGGGAAGCACCATCCACACACACAGGCCTACCCAGCCTGGGCCCTCTGTGCCAGCTCTAACTCATTTGTAAAGCACTTGTGAAAATGAAGACAGATTCTTCACTTCAATGATTGTGGTGGTGGGGACCTGATTCCCAGCAGTCACAACTCACAGGGGAAGGTCTCTGCTGATGACAGACCTCAGGAGGGCAGTTGGTCCAGGACCCACATCTGCTTTCTTCGTATTTCCTAATGAAGTAAATGTGTAATCTGCAGTTACATATTTCTGGAAACTTCTCTGGGATCAATGACTAGGAGGTTGCTCTAGGACCTTATGGCCCTGGCTCCTTTCTGGCCTCTCACAGGACATTTTTTTTTCCCACAGATAGAAACAGAGGGAGCTACTCTCAGCCTACAAGTAAGTATGAAGGAGGCTGATCCCTGAGATTGTTGCGGTATTGGTCAGGAGCCCATGAGGGAGCTCACCCACCCCACAGTTCCTCTAGCCATATCTGTGGGCTCTGACCGGGTTCTGTTTTTGTTCTACCCCAATCATTGACAGTGCCCAGGCTCTGGTGTGTCTTTCACAGCTAATAAGGGTGACACTCCAGGGCAGGGGCCCTGATGTGAGTGGGGTGTTGGGAGGAACAGAGGGGACTCAGCTGTGCTATGGGGTTTCTTTGACTTGGATGTCTTGAGCATGAAATGGGCTGTTTAGAGTGTGACCTATCACTGTGACTGATATGAATTTGTTCATGAATATTTTCCTCTATAGTGTGAGACAGCTTCCTTGTGTGGGACTGAGAAGCAAGATTTGTTCATGCCTCCCTTTTGTGACTTCAAGAAGCCTGAATTCTCTTTCTGCAAAGGTGTCCAAATGTGTCTTCACTCCTTTGAGCATAATGTGAGGAGGTGGGGAGACCAGCCTACCCCCATGTCCACCATGACCCCCTTCCCCGCACTACCCCGTGTTTCTACCCAATTACCTTTCCTGTTCCAGAGACATTGGGGCTCAGAGGTCTTTATCTCTGTCTCAACTTCATGGTGTACTGAGCTGCAACTTCCTGCTTCCCTATTAAAATTAGAATCTGAGTATAAATTTACTTCTTTAAATTCTTGCCATTAGAGGTTGATGAGTTAATTAGAGGAGGAGATTACTAACATTTGAAAGACAAAATAAATGGAAGACCTGAGAACCTTCCAGAGTCTATGTTTCCTGTGCTGATCTGTTGCAGGACAGGAGAGTAGATGGGGCTGTGCCCCGTGGGTACTCAGGCTACTGTGAGCTTTATCTGGTCACTGCTCAGCCAGGTCATCTTTGCTGCTCTAGTGGCCTTGGTCCTACAGCAGAACCTTTTCCCAGCAGGACCTGCGATCTCAGGGACTCGAATGTTATTTAGGGCAGTCCCTGCACACAGAAGTCCTTGTGGTATCAAGAGACTGATTTTTCAGACCTGTCCAGCACTTGCCCTCCTTCCAGGGCTCTTTCCTGGATTGTATTTTCCATCTTTTCACCAGCCTTCTCATAGGAACCAGATTGTGACATTTGCAGAGAGGAGGGGTCCCATAATTTCTCATCGTAGGTAAGTTTTTGTTGGAGCTCCTCTTCTGCTGTCCTACTCATCTTCCTGCCCTGAGTTGTAGTAATCCTAGTGCTGGCTCCAATCCAAACTCATGGATTTGTAAAGCAGAGTCTTAATTTAGATTCATATGTAGTTGGAAAATTGGACTTATAAGCCTAAGATTATCTTTCCTGAGGACAGAAATATGGTTGTGTGCTGCAGTGTGCACGAGGGTTGGTGTGGGAGGAGGAATGTGGGGAGGGAGGGCACCCAAGCAGCACTGGTGACAAAAGCACCGGTGGCACTGATGTCAGTGTGAGAGGATGTTGTGCTGTAGCTGCCACAAACAGCTGTAGCAGCCACAAAATAGCATTTGGCTCGAGGCTACATAAATAAAGACATTGCCTTTCTGATAGGGAGGTACTCTATGGTGAGCTTTCATTGAACTGACATTTGTTATCTGCTAGGTATATGACTGTTTTGCATTTGGAAAACATCTTTAAACTAAAAACAGAAGAATTTCTGGCCTTGTGGCGCATATGTATAAGCAGAGTATGGAAGGCAAATTCTTGTGTTAGAAGGTGGCAAGTGCTGTGGAGTGAGTCATCCAGAGTGTGGGCTGTGGGGACAGGGAAGGTGGCTGTTATACTATGTAGTCAGCATGGGCTTTGTTGCAAATGTGACCTGCAAGGAAAGACTTTTTTTTTTTCACAGTTGGCAGAGCTAACTGTGGCTTTAATTTGGCGGGGGGGGGGGGGGGGGGAAGAAAAGAAAGAAAGGAAGAGAGAGAGAGAGAAAGAAAGAAAGGAAGGAAGGAAGGACGGAAGGAAGAAGGAAGGAAGGAAGGAAGAAAGAAAAGAAAGAAAGAAAGAAAGAAAGAAAGAAAGAAAGAAAGAAAGAAAGAAAGAAAGAAAGAAAGAAAGAAAGAAAGAAATTAATTTACTTTGTAGCTGAATGCATATGCAAGTGGGAGTACCCCGGGCAGTAAACTCCTGCCATGGGTGGGCTGAGGGCAAGGACTGAACCTCAGGTGGGTCTCCTGTTCCCTATGCTCCCCTGCACAGCAGCCTCTCCTACAGGCCCTGGGGCAGTCATAGGAGGGGGCAGGCTGGGAGTGGCTGCTGTGGCCATTCACTTAGGCAGGACGTCCCAGGTCTTGGACACCAGCTTTCTATCCTGGGTCTCAATTTTCCTCATAACCACGACCCTGGAGGAGCTGGTGTGGCTGAAGGAGCTGGAGCCCCTGCCAGAGCCAAATCTGGAGCCCAGGCTGTAACTGAGGCCAGGGCTTGTGAGGGCCCCATAGGCCAAGCTCAGCCTACCTGAGTAGCCACTGGTGGTCTTCGTGTGGATGCTCATGTTCCAGCCAGCTTTCCCTGCCCTGCAGCAGCTTCCTGTAGGTGATGATCTCGATGTCCAGGCCTGCTTGATGTTCATCAGCTCCTGGTACTCGCACAGCTGCTGCGCCATGTCCTGCTTCGCCCACTGCTGGGTGGCCTCTAGCATAGACAGCTTGGCTTCCTTAATGGCCAGCTCCCGATGCTGCTCTGCATCCGTGATGGCGGCCTGCAGGGAGGCCCACTGGTTTTTGAGGCTGTCAGTCTCAGCCTGGAGCCAGCTGAGGTTCCAGGTCATCTCTGAGATCTCCATCTTTGTGTGACATAAGTCGTCCAGTGCTTTCCAGCCAGCGCCTGCAGTTCTTTGTACTTGACCTGGTGCAGGCTCAGCCCCAGTCCAGCTTCGGTTGGTGATCTCTTCTTGCTGGGCCTCAACCTCAGCGATGATACTGTCCATGTCCAGGGAGTGACTGTTGTCCATGGACAGCACCACAGATGTGTCCGAGATCTGGGACTGCAGCTCCAGGATCTCCTGTTCATACAGCCGCCTGAGGAAGCTGATCTCGTCATTCAACCCTTCCAGGCGAGAGTCCTGCTTTACCTCATTCATGTTAGCTTCAGCCACATCCTTCTTGATGAGGACAAATTCGTTCTCCTTCTCTGTATTAATATTGATCTTATCTTTGTACTAGTTCTTGAAGTCTTCCACCAGTCCCTGTGTGTTGCCAAACTTCGCCTCCAGTTTCAGCTTCTCCTGGCCCATAGTGTGCAGCTGCTGCTGAATGTTGATGTAGCTGTCAATCATGCAGTCCATCTTCCTCTGAGCCATCTTCTGCTGCTTTAGGAGGCTCCACTTGGTCTCCAGTATTTTGTTCTATTGCTCCAGGAACTGTAACTTGTTGATGAAGGAGGCAAATTTGTTGTTGAGGGTCTTGATCTGGTCCTTCTCCTGGGTGCACATGGCCTGAATGTTGGGGTCCACCTCCAGCTTAAGGGGCCTCAGTAGATTCTGGTTGACCATGATCGCTGTGATGCCCCCCATACCACGAGCCCCACCATAGCCTCCACCCAGACCCTTGCCATGCCCAAGCTATCCCAAAAGCTGCTGCCACTGCTGCCCACTTAGGAGAAGCTCAAGGAGCTGATGTGGGCACCAGGCCCACTCGTGTAGGAGCAGCTGCTGAAAGCCTGGGGGCCAGATTGGAATACTTTGTAGGACTTCTGTGTCACCCTAATGGACATGGTGGGGGCAAGCGGGCTGAGCCAGACAGAGATTCAAGAAGGAGCAGAGAAGCTTCTTCTAGGTCTTGAAGAACAATTTGAAGGACATGAGGAGATACCTACGAGGATGTCTAGGAAAGTTCTTTCCAGGCAGGGGAGCCTCCCGTGAAAATGCACTAGGGCAGGAAGGTATCTGTCTTTTGGGAAGTGAGAAGAGTCCAGACGGGCTGGACAGAGAGTGACTGAGATGAGGTCAGAGGTGTGGCCAGAGCAGGTAGGCCTGGAGAGTGTGGCCAGGGTTTTCACTTTTGCTCTGAGTGAGATGGTGAGTTTCAGTACAGTTTTGAAAAGTGGGACATGGTACGACTTACTCTTCAAAAGCTTCTCTCTGGCTGCCCTATTGAGAACAGAACTGAGAGGTGGGGGACAAGTAAGGCAGTAGAGAAAACAGTGGGAAAGGCATGTAGCATTTCAGGATAGAGACATCGGTTACCTTGACCTGGGTGTGACCAGTAAAAATAATGAGAAGTGATGGGATTCTGGATGCATCATAGCATTTGCTAATGGATTGTATCTGTGTTCTGAGAAAGAAGAATCAAAGACAGCCATGGTTTTAGACTATGAGAGTAGAAGGGTGGAGTTGCTGTCAGTGGAGATGGAGAGACTCTGGCAGGAGTATATAGGGGAGAGGGCATCTCAGGCATTCATTAGAGGAGATGTCTACAAGGAATGCAGGTGAGGAACCCAGATGGCTCTGCAGCTACAGCTTCATCATCAAATTACTCTCTTGCTTCCACACCCCTGATCCTCTGTATCTCAGAGCCAGAGCACCAATTATATACACACACACACACACACACACACACTTTTAAGTTCTAGGTTACATGTGCACAACGTGCATGTTTGTTACATAGGTATACATGTGCCATGTTGGTTTGCTGCACCCATTAACTCATCATTACATTAGGTATTTCTCCTAATGCTATCCCTCCCCCAGCCTCCCTCCCCGCGACAGGCCCTGGTGTGTGATGTTCCCCTCCCTGTGTCCATGTGTTCTCATTGTTCAACTGCCACTTATGAATGAGGACATGTGGTGTTTGGTTTTCTGTCCTTGAGATATTTTGCTGAGAATGATGGTTTCCAGCTTCATCCATGTCCCTGCAAAGGACATGAACTCGTTTTTTATGGCTGCATAGTATTCCATGGTGTATACTCAGAGCACCAATTCTTTCCTGGGCTATCTGCACAGGTACGTGAAAGGGAAGTTATGATTTCCAATTTGTTATAATAAGTCACAG